ATACACACAAACTGTAATAATCATAATACACATGCCGCCTCTCTTCCCTTTTTCTCTCTTTACCCCTTCCCTTTCCCTTACCTTCCCACTTTTTCTGGTCAGATACATGCTGGAGAATCAACTCCCAGAGGCCAGAGAAGGCGTCAGAAAGGTCATCATTGTGCTCACAGACGGCAACTCTCAGCAACCGGATGTGACGAAAGCGGAAGCCCACAAAGCTCTGGAGGCTGGGCTTGAAGTTTTCGCCATTGGTGTGGGCCATGCCGTCAGCGAAGAAGAACTTCACAACATTGCCAGTGACAGCAAGTAGGCTACTTTCCTCATATTAATCTTTTGTCTAGGTCTAGTTTAGCTGGTTAATTTCTGTTGGGTGGTACTTGCGTCAGAAATTGTATGGGTTTAGCGCCCATTTCAACACTCTAAGATTAGGATATAAAAATAGAATCAGCGAAACGCCCTTTTCAGTGAGCCGGATGGGTCTTGGAAACTCCCCAAAAGAAACCCGAGTTCAAAAACACACTTTTGGGGGAGTCCAACCATAATCCAATATATTTATAGTGTACAGACGAACATGGCGTGGAGTTAAGGCTCTTTAGCTTCCGTGTGAAAGTATCGAGTTCCGGTGTGACTAAACGGACACGGACACGATCCTGTGAAGCTTAAGCTCTGGCCCCTCATGGGTCATTTCCGGTAGAGATTATTTTTCAGCACCCCCCAACGCGGATCGCGCATTTCCCGGTCACAGCAATTTTATGCAAACTGCTAAGATGCATTGGTCCAAAAAGGAAGAGAAGCACGTCTTTCTCAATATGAAAAAGACTCACAATGTACGGTACTCGCATTCATGCTGGAGAAGGAAGGACACACATGTCCGAATATACACGGGAGCTTGAACGGACACGTGTCCCAATAGATGCAGCCATCGAGTTTGATTATCGAATGGTGAAGTTTATTTTAGCGAGCATCTCGCTTTTGTTTATGGGATGCTGTACCCAGCTCACACAGGGTCAGTCTGGTCAACTAAGTCACGGTAGCTCACCCCGGAAGTCGTCTCTGGATGCGTAAAAGATACAGTCGAACCTGTCCAAGGCGACCATCCATTGCCGAGGAGAAAAGTAATAATCTTATGCAGGTAGTCCAATGGGAATGTGTCGTTATAATACAGAAAAAAAGAACGCAAGGGGGATGTGGGAATTGGTCTTTGGTACAGGTGATTGTATTGGACAGATGGGTGTTAGAGTAAAGCAGATTCGACAGCATCATTCTATAGTCATCAACGCTGCTCTACAAGAACGGTAATGATTAGTTTGAAATGCTGACCCTGGATCCACCCCCTCCCCCTCCCAATAAGACACAGCGAGAGAAAAAATAATCAGAGGATGTTGTTAAAAACACAAGGAAATTTGAAAAACAAAAACCCTTTTTTATTGTACAGTGAAACTATTCCATTTTTTATTTCTAACAATATTCCAACTTCAGTTAGCCAGCCAGGTGATGTACGATTGTGTTTAAATACAAATAAATAACAAAACAAAAATTCAATTATTTCCACTTTTCATAATCTTCATGCCGAATATTTGATGTGCAAACACACACACACACACACACACACAAACACTTACACACACACACACGCACACACATACACACATACATACACACACACACTCACACACAGACACACACTCAGAAACACATACACATACTCAGAACCCCC